ATGTCAAAGAGACCATTCATCTGTAAATGGGGCAGTGAAGAAGATAATCTACCTAAATTCTGCATCTGTAAAACTCTCACTGACTTCACTGATTAGGAAGGAGTTGCTTAAAAATCAGCAGAAAGGGCTCTGATTTGATATAGAAAACAACACAAACTTCACTCAATGGACAAACCAGAAATGCCTTTTATCATTGCTATTTATAAATGGTGTCTGTGGCAAAGATTTCTGGCTCATAAATTGTTACGGTGAAGATGGCTACCAGGAAAAGCTACAAGGAAAGCACTCTGCAGTTTTGGATAGCCTGATTTGCTTAGTTTACAAATCAGATTTGTGCTCCATTTCCAAAGCTCAGCCTGTGATCAGAGCAATAAGCACTGCTCCTGGCTCAGGTACAGGTGTTTACAAGAGTGGATTTGACCATCAGCTTGCCTCTGTCATCTTTGAGTTGTTTCTTTCCCCCAACATCCTCAGCTGCATTCCTTACATTTTGCTTACAGCTTTAGCTCTCATTTCTCATTTATGTGTGTGTGAGGATTCAGAAGATGCAGGCAGGTTGATTTATGGCCCCTTCTGCAGGCACCCAGGTGCTCCTGGGAGCAGGGCAGGGCGGGTGCTCGGGGATCACCACGTTCCAGCAGGCTCCAGCCCCACTCTGGAGCGACACACGGCTGCTGTCAGCACAGCCCCAGCAGCTGCAGGGCTGAGATTTGAAATTCTCTGTCCTAAGTCACCCTAGGAAGTATTTTAAAGTAGTGTCAAGGTCAACTAGCAGATGCTGTAGGTGGTTTTGTGCGTGTGTCTGTCAGTCAGCATCTTTCCAGAAGTGTCAGAGGAATTTATGATGAGATCCTAATGCAATTCATTACTGTGGCCAAGGCACAACGTGACCCAGATTCCCACATTCACAGAAGTGGAGAGTGCTCTGATCTGACATCTCCAATTCTGAGGTGTTCTACTTTGGTTCCAGCTGCAGATTCCATCTGCAAGCTGCTGGGTTTGGGGCCACACCTGAGCAAGATCCAAGGCATAACATGAGTTACTCGTGACAGGGGATGGGGCTGCTTGTGTGGGAAGGTCATTTGAAAGAGAGGAGCTGATCTCCCAGCACCTAAATCCTCATAGAAAAGATTGGATACAAATGTGAGCTCGAAACCCCCTTAGCTGGTCATCGTAATTACATCAGTCACATAAATGGAAAACTTTGGAAAGTGTTGAATATGTCTAAAAAGGTGGAGCAGCAGGTATTTCAGCAGCTCTCTTCTAGACACTAATCTTTGCCCATTGGAGGAAGAGGAATTGGTACTGCCAAATCAACGGCCTCCTTTTTGCTGATGCTTCATTTTTAACCATGGCCAGAACTTGTCTGACCTCAATTCTCAAGTCTTTTGACCCACCAAATTGAATTGCTTTTAATTTTTTTCTAGCCAGCCCCCAAAAGCATTGAAGTGGTACTTTACTGATGCAAATGTACAAGGGAGCAGATAATTGAGTTTGATCTGGTCAGAAAGAGTTATGGCTGGAGGCTACCTATGAAGACTTTTAGCATAAAACTATTATTCTCAAGAAATCCAGCAGCTTCCAACTGGTAGTAACTTGAAATTCCATGTGAAAACTCATCCCACAACACTAAAAATTTCCTCCAAACACTCAAGTTAGTTTCAAAAGAATTTTCCTTGTGCACAACTGTTTCTGTGTATTGAGCCCCAAATAAACAACCCTGGGCAAGAAATTCCATAGGAACAACTGATAGTTGGAGTAATTTCTGAAAAATAAACTTTGTGGTTATGCACTCAGGGCTAGAAGAAAAGTTTGCTCCCTCAGGATGTAAATTACCAGGGCTCCAGTGTGTGTCCAGCTCTGAGCTGGACACTCAGCACTTTCAGGCTGGGTCACAAGAGCCTTGCTGGCAGTCATGAGGGGGGCCTGGGCGTGCCAAGGGGACGAAGGGGACAATGCCATTGCTGCAGTGGACTGCAGGGTGTCCCCCTTGCACCCACACCACTACAGGCCCACTAGATGGAACCAGAACTCCCTTTGGATGCTCCTCCCTGTAACTCCCACTTGAGACAAGTTCATTTTCAGTTCAGAGCCCAAGGGCAGCAGTCAGGCTGAAATCCCAGTTTCCCTCCTCCTACACAACACATCTCGCTGCTGCTTACACTGCAATCTGCTCCAGGCTTCCAGCTTGTGTATACATCACGGGCTCTGCTGATCACAACAGTGATACCTACTTCAAACAATGAGAGCTTTTTGCCTGCAATTTCCCTTTGATACTTAAATAACAGAAAAACCACAAAAACAAATGAGGCTCTCCTCTGAATTACTCAGGAGAATACGGTAAGCTATTCTGCGCTGTCAGATACCGTTGTAATTAGGTGCTTTTAGAAATATATTATGTCTTTTATCTGTTATTTACTGTGCATACTGTATTTATTGTGCTGAACACATTATGCCCCTGACAGGCTACCGCAGATTTCTCGGTGTGTTAATTGTCTGGGCCCTGCTGCTACACCCACTTTTGAGATTCAGAGACAAACCAATTGAATTCTGACATCTATTTATCTTCCTAGAACGAATATTTTTGTCTGGTAAATATGTAGGGCTCCTAAAGAGATCTTACACCAAGTCACAGTAATCCTCCTCAGTTCCTGGGTTACTGACCAAACACACAGCAACAGCCCTTTCAGAGCCAAGGGCTCACATAGCAACATCCTTTGCCTAAAGGCAAACGCACAAGGTTTCCAGAAGGAATTCAGGCCAGCTGTGTCTTGAGACAGTGCAGATGCACCCCAAAAGTGGGGGTTTGCCCTCCCTGGGCTGTGCAGAGCCATCCTCAGGGATGTGTTAGCCCATGAACTGAAAGGCAGAGCCAAAGTTCACTCCCTGCCTCCAGTTTCCCGTCTCGTGCCCACTCACCCCTGCCCACATATAAAAGGAATAGCAGAATAAGGCAATAATTCTTTTCCCTTCCCAAAAACCTAGAAACTGAGCATGAGTCAAAGCTCCAGCTGCCTGGCAGCGGGAATGAAAACACACCAGAGCTTCCTGGTAGATACCAAGAAGTAACTCCACAGCCCTGCAGTACCATCAATCATCCCTTCCAGCCCTGCAGTATCCTCCAGACCAGCCGTGTCCTCAGCTACCCTGAGCCCAGGTGGGGTCTGGACTCAGCTCTTGCACATCTCCTGAGCACCCTGCAGTGAGTTTAGACTTGCATTGCCCACCTGGGGCTCATTCACCCCAGTTTCTCATCAGAGGCACGAAGAAAGGAAACCTCTTTGCACGTGAGCCAGTGTCTCCATCCTTCCAAGGCACGTGCATGACTCATGCCAAAGAAAAGCTTCCCCTTCAGCTTTTCTGTATGCTTAATTTGAGACTAGAAATGAGAAGAATTTTTATAAGTCGAGAAAGCTGCAGCACAGAGCTTACAAGGGGAAGCATGAAAGTCCAGGAGAAGAAGGAAACTGGAGGCCTTCAGAACTCTTTACAATGTGGCAAAGATTTATGACCTTTAGTTCTTTATACCCCATACAAACACTGCTTATTCCATACAAAACAACACTTAATCTATGAAAACACTACGAATTTTGCTTATAGAAATTCAGAACCAGTTCCATAACAGCAAGTTCATATCCCTGACAGCACCAGGCAGCCTTCTGCAGAGACCTTCAGCTTGAACCACTCTGCCAGGAGCTCCTGAGCTGCACCCAGCCTCCAAAGAGCCAAACCTTCACTGATCTGATCCTCTTTGAACAAAGAGGCTGCCAGGTTCTACTTTCCAAAAGCAAACCAGGTATGCTGAGCTGATCCCAGAAACAGAAAGCAGAGCTGCCCTGGGAAGGTGATTCTATAGCTCCTCTGCTGTCCTGGCACAATTTCATGGCGAGAAAAAGCTGCACCTGCAGGAAAACCACAGCCAGGCATTGAAGATATACCAAGGATAACACAACCCATTTCACCTTTTTATAGTCCCATGTTTTATTTTGGGGTTTTTTTTTGGCTCATGGGGAGAGAACACTGCAGTTCCAGTGCTGTGTTGCAGAGGAATCCTTGTCATCATAGGTGGGTCTTCAAAAGTGAAAAAAAGCCATGGGATAAACCAGAAATTTTCCAAGATCATGCACAGTTGTATAATTTGAGATATTCTGTTGTCTTTGCATGCCATGTATGTGAGATCCATGGGAATTCAAAATGGGCAATAAAACATAAGAGACATGTGATTTTTAGTGATAATATATCAACCTAAGAAGTGAATGAGCCCATATAGCAGCTTTTTCTCTCATTCATAATTTTAATATGCTGAAATGCCTACATTTTAGTCTACCTGGCTTTTAAAGTATATGGTTATGAATCCCTGGGAAAAAAGACATCAAATGAAATAAATGGCAGCTTTGAATTATAGTTGTGATGAGCATTGTCATAATAAATTCACTCCTCACCCAGAGGAGCGATGAGGGATTCCTGCTGTACCACACCATGTTTTCACAAGTCAAATACAGCCACGTGTTCAATTTATAGCTTGCTTTTGGGCTGAAAGTCTCCACAGTTCTTGAATGAATGCAGCTGAGCACGATTCAAGGCTATTTGGATAAGAATACCATGTTTCCAGCTAATTTAGGCTGAGATTTTCGAGGTTGTGCAAGGGCTTTTGCAGCCCAAGTCAGAGGCACTGGTGTTTCTGAATTCTCTGGGCAGTGTGTCAAGGCATAATCTTTGAGAGGTGCTGCTCCACAGCTTGTTTCTACAGCCATAATTGCAAGAGGAAGGGATATTGAAATGACAGTCAAAACAAAGCTTTCACAGGAAAGATTAACCCTTTTCAACACCCAGACCCTTTTTGGCACTGCAGTGTGTATTAATCACCAATTCCCTGCTCCAGCTCCAATTCTGCTGCTACAAAAGGGGATGACAATTTAAAAAGCCACTTCTGGGACACTTGTCTGGAACACAGAGCTTTGCTCTGAACAAGATGAATGAATCCATTTAGACAAGATGGCTACACATTTTGCATATCTTTATTGCACTTTTACCACGTTGCAAACAATTCCACAAAAATGCTGCAAAAGTAAGCCTAGAGCTGCTGAAAGCAGCTTTTTACCCATATATGTATATATTTACACAAAACTATCAAAAGCAAAATTGAAAAGTAGCAGCTCAGCTATGATAGTCTAGAAAGATAAGAGCTGCCACCTCCTTATGGACAAATAGTACAACTTGTCATTTTACATCACTTTGTAAAACCAACATTCAAGTATTCCTGTCAAAGCACAATTAGTGAAATTCCCTTCTGGTAACCCCTGTATTTATTATCATTATTATTATAATTATTATTATTTTTTGCCTTTAAAAGTTCATAATGCCTTAACCCTTTAAATGCTGAGTAGCTGGGGGGAAAATAAGCATTCAATTTAAATAAGATACAGTGGATTAGAGCACTTAAAGGGTTAACACAAAATACTAAGTGGACTGTCACCACAAATAAAGTGTGAGTCACAAAACTATGCTGTTCCTCTTAGTTAAATTTGGAAAGTAGGTCTGGGGTTTCATAGATATACCATATATAAATACAAAATATTAAGTAAAGGCCTCCTTTCTATACAAAAAGGACAGGAGGTGTTTTGCTATCAGACTGTTGTCTGTCAGTGATTGAGTATTTTCTGAATCTTTTCAGAATCTCTCTTCAGGAACTAATGAAAAGCAACACATTAGACTTATTTTTCTTAATGAACTAATCCTTTGCAGAGTCTACACTTTACTTACTCTGGGAACAATTATATCTCATTTCTGAATTCACTGAATTCACAAAGTGGCATACACAGTCTTTTGCAAGACTTTTTTGTTGTTTTTTTGTTTCCTTTTCTTCTTTGAATCTTCTTGACTCGGCTGGTAAAAATGTAGTCTTGCCATTTCACTACCTCTCGGTGGTAACAGTGTTAACATCCGTGTTAAAGTCATTTTCAACCACATTGTCATAACCATCCTTCTCTATGCAGTCACTGACAGCCTTGAGGACAATCCGCAGCCGCCTGTCCATCGCCTCCAAGTGAGGCTGGTAGAGGATTGGAGCTATTTTATCTTTTAGCAAAGATTCTTTCATCAGGAGACTGAGTTTGTATTCCTCCTTGGCTAACAGCTGTAATCGCAGATAGGTAGACTTCCTGATTCTAAGGGGAAAAGGAGAAAAAAAAATGCAAATCAGTTATTTCCATTACTGTTGATCTGGACAGTGCTGAAAGGCTTATAGCTAATTACAACAGTAGTGTAAGAGCCTTATTCTGTGATCTGAAATGATGAGAAGCAGGCACTGTCACAGTCCTAATGAGCAGCTGGCATTGTCACCTGGCCACCAGTCTTTCGGGGCTCTTTGAGGTGCAGAGGTTTTGGAGCACAGATCCCTGGGCAGTGCAGGCAGCCCTCACATCCCTCACCTGGAGAAGCACCAAGTGGAGCTGGTGCAGCATTCATAGGGCCATGTCCATCTTGGCAATGACACATGTGACACTGGCACTGAGCAGGGACATATGTGACAGTAGCAGAGGCTCCTCAGGATCACCCTGCAGGGCTGCCCAGAGCCCCCACAGACACAGAGCTCACCCTGCAAAGCTGAAACTCCAAATGTACCTGGCCCCTCTGAAAACCCTGGCCATGGGCTCCAAGGAAAGCCGTTGAGAAGCATGAGAACAAGCTGGGATTTTGTCACTTGACTTCCATGGGATGTGTATTTTGCCTTAAAGCTTCTCTCCCAACAGCTCACAGCCGTGCTCCTGCAAGGTCCTGATCCCAAGAGAGCGTTTAACGTGGCAGTGCCAATGCTCAGGGCTAGCTGGGCAGGATCACACCATCTCCTCCTCCCCACAGTGTGCAATCAAAGTTTCACTTGAACATTTTCAGTCCTGTTAGTGGAAACCATGGTACAAACCAGAAAATGCCTCCAGAGGAATAACATACCTGCAGCACTGGTTTAAAGGCACCAATATGGAAAGTTCATCATGGGAATATTTTCCAAACCTATTTAAAGATAAGAGCAAGAATGTAACAAAGGCTATTTTAAAGACAGACTTTTTTCATTTTCCTTTAACTCCAGAAAGATTATTAAAGATATTTACCCTCTTCCATTATCCAAGTGGATAATAAAAGTTTCATTTCCAAACTTCTCAAAGGTTTCGTAGTGATGTCGATCCATGTTACCTATGGAACAAAGAGAAGAAAAAAGACCATTCTCATTCTGGCTTGAGCCTGCAGGTCAGGGCAATGCAAAAGCCCAGTGCTCCCCAAAAACAATGTCTGGGTACAGCAGAGAAAGCAGCAAACCTGCAGAGCTCATTTGCTCCTACTGTGGATACCCTAAAGTGCGTGATACCAGGAGGGCTGTTACACCTCAGGCAGCTTCTCAAGTTCTCTGTGGCTTTCAGACTTGATCTCTAAAGGACCCATCAGGAGACAAAGCCAAGATTTCCACCCTCCAGCAACCCCTCCTGGGGTACAGCAAAAACCCCTCTCCAGCACAACAGCACCTCAGCTGTTTGGGGGGGGCGGATCTCCTGTAGGGTAGCTGTGCCCTAAGCCAGCAGAGCTCCCTTCCCTGGGGGCAAGGAGCCCTGCTGCTGCAGCCTGGGGTCTGTAGGGCGTGTGAAGCACACATGGTACATGTGACACGTGCAGGGCTTTGCTCAGGGAGGAGAAAATGCCTGCTTTGGGCAGGGGTGTTAATCCTGATCACTTTGTTAATACTGCATTCAGCTTTCTGAACCCCAGCCAAACATCCTGGTTTTCCTCTGGCCAGAGCTTTGGCCCAGTTGCTGACTGCTTGGGAAGCCAGAACAGTACCATGGCTGGAAGAGATGGATCAGGACGGTGCTGATCTGCACAGCTCTCCCTGACTGATCTGCTTTTTAAGGTCAATGTGCAGAGCACTGCTGCCAAGCTATGGATTTTGTCTCTGTGGCAGGGGTCTTGAGCCACTTATAGATGTCACATATGGCTCCTGAGCTGTCACCTGGCCTCTCCTGCTGCAGCCTATTCAGGAATCTCAGTGGGGGCAATGGCACAGGATGTATCCATGCTGGCACGTGCCCAAGGATCTAGGATGCAGGTTGGCAACTTAAAGGTGTGTTGGCTGCAGCAGGAAAGGTTTCATATGAGAATGAGAATGAGAATTAGGCTTGGAATGGGTCACTATTACCTGGTTGCAAATAATTATTTTATTGAGATCAGGTTACATAAACAGAAAAATTCCTGATACAATCCACAGCTGCCTTTGTGACAAAACAGTGTCCCTCCCCCCCACACCCTGACATTTTATAGAGAAGCAGCAGAGAACACTCCTGCAGGATGAAAACAAAGCACCAGTAATGAGCAGTCCTTGCATGTGCATCCAGGAGCCATATATTACAGGGGTAAAGCACTCACTAAAGCAAACTGTGAAGCCCTTCACTGCTGTGAAGGAGACTGGCCTGACCTGCATTCATCACCACTCTGCATTTCTGAACATCTTTGTTCCTTTAATCTGCACTGATGGGAATACATAACCATGTAAATCTGCATTTTCTCATCATCATCTAGAACAGCATATACAGTAAATGCAGCTTCAACCACGCTTTAGCAAACTGCTGAGCTATGCAGAGCAGTGCAGAAAGAAATGGTTTTTATTCTAATTAAATGTTGCATTTAATTTTTGAAAGAGATGAAACATACCCATTAGGAAATCAAAAACTGTCATATCCATTATATCCAGAATTCTGGTCCCACTGTCGTATGGGGGTGTTTGTTTAACCTCTTCACAATAATCTGGATCAACTTCCCATCTGGAAAAGGCAGTATTTTGATATTTTATGTGACATACAAAGCTTACTGAAAATAACAAAAAAATGTTATTTTGCAAGGATCTACTTGTGTCATGTTAAACTGAGGGCAGGCTTGGGTAGAGGCAGCAAATTCCAGCAATGCAGGCAAGCAAGGAAGGTTGTGACTGATGGAAAAAAAAGAAAAACACAAGACTGAAAACTATCCAGCCAGTAGGTTCAGGATTTAGGAGACTAGCTGCACCACCAGTCATATGGTGCAAGCATCTGAGACTTCTTTAGGGCTGCTGAGAGCAGGGAATCTTTCTCCCTCTGATAGGACTTAGAGAGGTCCTGTTGCATCCTGTCTACACCACTGCAGGTATCTGCCCCGTGAGGGAATTGTGCCACTGAAAGTCCTTTTGGGTTCAGGACCATGGACTGGAGCTCCTGGCACGTGCCCTGTCCCTTCCCAGGGAAAACCCAGCTGCTCTGCCAAGGCCAGGGACTGGGTTATTTCCCCGTCACCCTGTGCAGCTTTGCTCACCACTACTCACTCTGCTTTCTTGCGCTTGTGGTAGGAACGCCTCCAAGGGTTTCTCCAGGTTTTCCTTTTTGCTAAAGACAAATCAGGCAGGAAAGCAGCCAGAGACCCTTCGATCTGATCTGGTTTCCCACACAGGGCGTGCTCTGTTGAGCAGTAGTAGGAGCATTCCCCATAGAAGCAGATGTTGTTGGCTGGCAAAGAAAGGAAAAGAGCTTTAAAGCCTACACTTAAATTAGTACTGAGAATTTATAAAAGCACTGATGTATGTAGAGGCAGAAATAAATCCAAACCCCTGTTACCACACGTAGTTTTCCTCCACTGAAACCACCAGAAAGACATTGATTTCAGTGGCTGGGATCACGCCCTGTGCTAAGCTCTCTGTGACTATATCCAGTCTATTTATATTCTCCAAACCATTTTTTTCTTTTAATCCTGTCCTTTCTCCTTTCATTTTCCCAGACTGATACATTCCTTGGGACCTATTTGCTACCCCAGGCTGGAACAAGTGGCATGTGCCCAAAATTAAGTCACTTCTCAAAATCTTGGCTCATTTCTTTAAGAACAGAGAACATTTCATTCATTTCCTTGCTGGAATGAGAAGAACTGGCAGTTTTTGCAAGGAGAATTATTTACCATCAAGAGTCCCGAGGGGGTGTGTGTGGAAGGTGGAAATAGCACGGACGTAACGCTGCCAGCACACATCTCAAACACAAATTCCTTCCTCCAGCCCTCACGTTACTCCAACAACCACAGAAAAAGAATCTGCAGCAGGTTTTGGACCTTGTGTTACCTTAAAACCTCCCCAAAACTGCCACCACATATTTCTGAACCAACAGGAACACCCACCTCTGTACAGGAACACCCTGCCCACGGGAATTCTCTGCAGGTGAGAGAGAGCAGCTCATCCCCAAAGCCCACCAACGCCGGGCTGGGAACAGGGATAGGAGCACACTGCTGCTCTTGCCAGCGTGCTACAACTCTTGTGACATTGCTTTATGACATAAAATGTCATTAGAGGAAGACTGTGCCCTTTCCTCATGGTAATGCATGAAGCTGAGAAGTCACATTGCTTCCTAATTCCCCACAAGGCCTCTAAATTCAAATATTGTTTCCAAGCTCCTCTCCCTCTGGGCAGGCTCAGTGTAAATGAGGCAGGAAGGGCTGGGAGTAGCGGGAGGTGATTTTCTGCCTGCCACAGGAAGGTGAGTGGTGGCTTTGCATGGCAGTGATGCCCTACATGTCACTGTGACATGCCCCAGCCCAAACCTGCATCCAGCAGAGTGCCCAGGGCAGGTGGGGCACTGCCAGTGGGAGATGGTGAGTCAGGAGGCCAGGGACAGCTCTGGGGGTGACAGGAGGGAAGGAGGAACAGAGCAAGGACCTGTGTTTGAGGAAGGAGAAGCAGGGGAACATGCAACAGCAAAAAGATCTTGTGATGCTTCTGATTAATTAGCTGCATTATCTGGGGCTGGCTGTTAAACCATGGAATTATACCAAATAACCACAGTGTAAGGCTGATGTGTTGCTACTTGACAATCTGTCCCAGCTTCCCACTGATGCCCCAGCTTTCTCTGCTGGTGGACACCTGATTTGTCCATGAAGCTGTGATTACTCTAAGACAGCCTTTTTGCAACACTCTGCTGTGACTGACTCACAAGAGCCACACATCCATCCATGCTCAAACTGTATATTTATATTCACAGGGCTGGATCATAGCAGTTAAATATATCCTGGCTAATCCAGAAATATTTACTCTGTGGCCAAAAAGCTTGTTGACAATTACTCAAGGAAAAGAAAAGTACTTCAGGGAAGAGAAAAGGAAGAACAGAAATTACGAAAGGAAGGAAGGGATCTTTCAACATATGTGTACTTCTGAGTTTTCAATTTAAGTGTTTTACCAAGCAGAATATTCTCTTTTAAAAATTGTGTTTCTGCTGATTTGAAGCGGCAGTGGGGCTTGGGCTTCAATTGAGCTGTCTCAGCATCACCTCCTCATCTGTGGAGGGAGAGAAGCATGCAGATTTATCTTGACTGCCTGAGATAACTTATCTTCCAGGGTTTCTGTGACCTGACTTCCACCTGGCAGCAGGAAGCCAGTGCTCGTTTATCTCCTGCCGGATCGGTTTTGTAAAGAGCAAAAGGGCCAGCAAATGCCCCCCACGCCATCACAGCCTCTGCTGCTCACTATGTAAATCTGACCTTTCAAGAAAAAGGAGTTGTATTAAACACAGCATTTTACTCAGTGGGAAGATAAATACTCTGTTTAATAGTTTGCTTCTGTATTCATCTTTGGGAACAATGAAACCCTGCTCTGTATTGTCAATGAATGCAACTGGGGCTAATCACTTGACAGTAATCACACACTGGTACCCAGGTAAAGCTTGAGGAGAGCTGGGGGCTCTGGCAGTGCTGGTGTTTGCTGCTGCAGGGCTGTGCAGTGAGCACCTGTGCTGCCTGCACCACGCCAGCCACTCATCCCACTCATCCCTGCCAGGATCCTCCAGCTACCGATCCTCCACGAGCCCATTCCCTGCTGCAGCACCCAGTGCCCTCAGCAATGGCAAGATGTGTCCTGGCACTAAGGCAGTGAGCTTGCAGTAAAACCACAAGGATATTTCTCACTGACAAGTTATATTCAATATCAAATATTCATCTGCAGGCAGTTATTCCCCCATGGGCTCAGACCTGTGGTATCTACTCCCCACAGCTCCCGTTCGATTTCTGGGGATAGTGGAAATGAAAGGATCCTGGATCTCAAGCTACTGCTAAAAAAAATTAACAGCCTTGATTGATACAGAATAGACATCTTATTATGTCTGCCCTAGTCCTTACATACTGGCAGTAAGATGAAGCAGCCTGAATTATCTGGGGAAACATTCATTTTTAAGGTTTCTTAAAAATGTAGGAAGAAAAAAGAGGAACCAAATATAGAAAACCACAGTTCTCATTTAATACTTCAAGGTGCTGTAGCAAGGCTCTTTGAAACCTAAGTAGGTGACCCACATTCTGCACAGCAGGCTGAGGGTGAAATTCCAGCTAGAGACACAAGCCCAGAGCTTCATGGCAATCCCACGCTGAGAGCAGGGTTTGGCTTTCCAAAGCAAAAATAAGAGAGAAAGGGGAGATGAGCTCCCTACTGGAGCAGGGAGCTGCTCACACTTCTCCTCTCATTAAAATTGCCCAAACCATATGTTCCTCTCACCAGATAAAGGTGTTTCTGCATAACTACACCTGCAAAAGGAGCAACAGCCAGGAATTTGTGCTCCTGCAGGGTGGGCAGGAATGGCAACAGCAGCAGTGCTGGCAAACCAGACAAGGAGGGATGTTTATACATGCTGGAATGTCCAAATGCTGTGAATTTCCAACATGAAAAAGCCTTCTTCCCTATAAACCAAAATTGTTTCCCCAAAGCACCATAAAGACAAGAGAACCCCATGTTGCAGTGTCTGATTTTCATTATCTGAGGAGAAATGGATGTGATTCATAATGAAATACAGGCAAAAATCATGGTCTGGTGATTGAAACTCCAACTAATTACAACAGTTAAGAGCCAGAGTGCCTGTGTACTCATCTGCACATTCTCTGTGCATCCTCCTGATAGCTGAACAATAATTCTTCTCAGGAAGAAAAGGAACAAGGGGGGATACCTTAAAGCAAATTGCTTGGCAGAGTAATTCTTTTATTCAGCTTTGCATGACTGTTAATAGAGGACATTTAGCAAGCCTGTGCAACTGGAGTACTGGAAAGAATCCTGAATATTTACTACAGCAATGCATGAAAAGATCTTTCATTTACCTGCTCAAAATAATAGGTAATTCAGAGCTGCTATTGTATGCTGAGAGGGGAAAAAAATCCATAATCCCTTGGAATTGGTTAATATGAACAAAAACATAGTGCTTACTAGCTGTGTAACATTGATTTCTTTAAGCTGCTGCCTCTATTACTTCCAAAATGAAGGCTGACATCATTAATATGTCTCTTTTTTCCTAGCAAATTACCATTCATTTGTAAGAGTAGCAGGGCTACTGCAGTCTGCCCTGCTGCAAAGAACGTAAAATTAATTTAAATAATTACTGACCTAATTCCATTTCTCATGTTTAAGTCCAAACTGCCTGCAAGTGCACTTTTCTGCAATCTGTTTTCTCTCTGAGTGCAGCCTAATGCATCCACTGACCTGCCTGCTTGAGCCATTGCCACTTTTCCATGGGAGCAGGGATGCTGCTTGGCACTGCACTCTGAAGCTGCCTGTGGCTCCCTGGATTTCCACACCTGATGGGACAAGGGAGGTGGCCCAGGAGTGGAAATGCAGTGAGGTTTCTTCTAACACCTCCCCACACTGCTCTAGGAGATAACACGTGCTTGGACAATGCTCCTGGTGGGATCCTTGGGGTTGTCCTGTGCAGGGCTGGGAGCTGGACTTGATCAGCCTGGTGAGCCCTTCCAACTCAGTTTATTCCATTATCCTGTGACTGATGAGTATCATCAAAAACCACCCTCTGAGGGTGCAAACCACGGGCTCCCAGCCCGAGGGGAACATCTTCCTATAAAATCAATTTCACTTAGTGCTTGTTAGATTTTAAGAGCTCTGTGTGTGTGTGTGTGTGCATGGAGAGGGATATTTTGCCAGCAGGCACCAAGCATTCCCAGGACCATTAATTGTCCCTGAGCACCACTGGGGATGGAGATGCAGTGACAGAGCCACCTGAAAGGGAGCCCAGAGGAGCCTCTACAGGCACAGCCTGGCTTGTGCACATACCAAGAGGTCACACCTCAATCCCTCACCTTTGGAGTCAGCTCTCCCTCAAAACCAACTGACTCAGCTGCCCTTCCTCTGCCAGAGGGGCAAGTCAGCCTTCCCCAGGCTCCCTGTTCCCTCCTCATCCTCACCCTCCAGAGCACGAGTCTCACCCCAGCACCCTGCTCTTCCTTCTCTGCCCTCAATCTGCTGCCTGAGCTGCCTGCTGGGCTTGTGGAAGCTGTTTCTAAAAGCTTAATTTAGGATCTTTGTTATTTTTTCATTAAGCATTAATTAATGTCTGCCTTTTAAGGTCAGTGTGAAATACAAGACGGAGGTTGGCCATATGTTAATGAGAATCTGACTAATTAAACTGGGGACTTGTAGGGAAGAACTCTGACAAGTAACCAACGTGATTTAACCGAAGTATATTGATTCAGGAAATGTAAAATGGAAAGAAAAATTAATTGCTTAAGCATTTTATTCTCCAGAAAAACCTGATTCATAGTTAATCAAATATTTTAATTGAATTTATCTGAGACCTCTAAATAAATTTGAATAAAGGATTATGCTTGGATGTCTGGAATTTCATAATGGCAAGATAAAGATCTTCATCCAAACTGGCAGCCTTAACTCTGTATTACCCTGCTCTGGCTGCTGTAAGCTGCTCAGTACTTGAGAACAGTGTCGTAATTCTCAGAAATCATTCAAGTTCACCCCTAAGTCTTGAAATATAACCTAGGAAGACTAAAAATCCAGCAAACCAACTAATGCACATCTTACTTGCCAAAGTGGGAATAAAATGGCTCATGTTTAAAGTGAGCCAAAGCATCTTGTGCACAGTCAAAATATTTTTTTGCCCTTTTTTGCACATTTTTACCTACAAAATTCAAGCCAAAAACCAAGTATAGGGAGACAAAGAGGGAGAGAAACCAGTAAGGCAAATACAGAAATGTGTGTCCACCAGGTTTGGTGAACATGTATTGTCAGCATAACTGTACATGTAAAACTGGAGTGATAATACTGGGTAAAATGAAACCTTCTGCAATTATGTAACGCATTTTACAAGTGAGGTTCCTGGAATAAATAACTGTCTGCTCAACTGTGTCCTCCAGAGCTAAACATAAAGATGAAGCTAAAAATAACAGCTGTAATAATGACTTTACTGGGGATCAGAAAAGTGTGATAAACATTTTAAGAGCAAAAGCTCGGCAATGACAGGGTTCTGGTTTCTAGCTAACAGCAATAAATTACAGTTACATTGGGAGAAACTGTAATTAAGTCTTTGGATCTCGACTTTAGGGATCTGGGATAAACAGCTTCTGGCCAATCATACTCAGAGCAAGGGAGAGATCTCCAGAGGTTTCTGCTCCAGATTGCCTCTTACACAAGTCACCCTCAGTTCAGCAAAGCACACTTGCACTCAGCTGAAACAATAAGAGTTAAGCTACTGGAACATGGCACTGCTTTCATTTGAACCTATAACCTATAAATTCCATATGCAAGAGCAAACTTAAACATTATTTCTGTGCCTTAACTCAGAGCCCTAATTTCTCCATCTCAGCATCCCAGATGTTGAACAGAGATGCTGCCTCTTTTTCCCAGCTTTTGCTCATTTTTCCCTATTCCAGTTGTATACTACGGTGAGCAGGATAGGGTTTTACCCTGTGTTCGTAAAATTCCCACCCTGTGGAGCTCCATCCTTGACTAGGTCCAGTCAAAACGTTATGAAAGACTGAAGAGGGAGTGGTATCAGCTTCTGGGTCAGGCCTCGAAGACAGAGTGAGGACTGGGAACAATTCAGGTCACTTCTAGCCCAACAGAGAATTTGAGCTGGAAGCAGGATATATTGCACATCTATTTTCTGATTTTTTTGTCCAAACTCTTGTAATAAAACCTGAATGGCTCTGAGAAATTAGGTTTGGTCCTCCAGTCAAACCCAGAAATAAATGCATCTAACCGACAGAAGTGACAGATCACATTGCAGCAGGAGAAAACCCCTGGATAACTAATGGGCTGGGTAATAAGGTTTTGGGTAAACTGAGAGCACCAGAAAAAATTGCCTTAGAAATTGTTCTACATAAAACATTTGTTGAATACATTGCTTTGGCGAACATAAAAGCCTCTCTCTGCAGATAATTTGTCAAGGGGAAAAGGCACTCAACTCAAAACAATAAAGTCCTCTTTGTAAGCTATGTCTCCACATTTATTTTTATTCAAAGGTCTAGAAGACAGTTTTATTAGAAATATCGGAGCAATTAAGCAATCTGCACATCGTTTCCTTAAGTATGTGTTCAGCAGGATAGAGAGAATAGAGTGTTATTTCCAGGACTACCTGGTGAGATGAAAAATGTTCTCCACAGCTTCTTGTCACGAGTAACATCTCGTATCTCTCTCGTCATGTTAACCAGTCTACCTGCAACGGGGGGCACGCGCCGGAAATCCAGGATCCTGCAAGAGGGAGAAAAGACATAGTTTATGTAAGGGATTAAAATGTAATGATAGTTATAGGTTTTAAGAAGCTTCATTACACTCTGAAGGCACATTTATCTGTGGTCTTTAAGGAATATAAAGACCATCAACTTTAAACTGGATAATTCCTCATATAATGTATTACAAAATATGTCCTGAATATGACGAGCTCTGCATTGCTGATGTAGTATGGAGTAAAATACAAGAAAAGTATGGAGGGTATTGTTCCATGATAAAAACGAAGATACATATGATTCCAAAAACCAGAGACAACAAAAACATATTTTTTTACTTCGTGCTACTTTATGGTTGTTACGACATACATTTGCTCACCAGTTTTTTAAGTGACTTGGGGAATGGGATTTCAGCCTCTCTCTCCCATAAACACCATGTAATTCTTTTTCTGACAGCCTTAGTATGTGTTTGATTGATTTCCTTCTGCTCCTCTCTGTTTTAATACCCTTATACTAACCTAAACAATCTCCCTGAGACCAAAAATCTTCCCATGGGCAAAGGCTGGGAGAAGAGCCTCTCCCTACCCCAAACTCCCCTGTCTTCACAGATCATAAAAACTTCCCCAAGAAGCACTGCTGTTAGATACAGTAAAAGAGCAAAGACGCCGTGCAAGGTCTCCCCATAGGCAGGATTTTTATATCCACTGTCTGCTGTTCAGATTTTCTACATTGGGTAGCAACTGCTTTTCCTGCTCAGTGTGTGGATATTTAACATACCCCCTGTAGGAACTCCACTGATGCTTTTTTCTACAGCACCATCTGCTTAAAACGGCAATATAAAACATAAAGCAGAAGGGATCAACACCAAGGTCAACAAAAATAAAATGGAGAAGATCCTTGAAGGATCTGATCAGGATTGGCTCTAACTGGCAAATCTACCCTGTGCCACCCACTGACACATCCTCATATCCCAGCCGTCATCCCAGAAGGCAGAAATGCTACACAAACCCCCAAATAATTTGATTCCCCAAAGCTTTGCACTTTTGAAAGGATGTTTCTTGGCCTTTCCCAGTGTGAAAGATGCTTCAGTGAAATACTCTTGTTTCCAGATTTACTGTAAATCACTAATTAGTAGTCCCCACCCCTAATCTGGGCAGGCAGGGCAGGCTGCAGTCTTGGGGTATCCACCATCCTCTGCACTAACTCTGGAGGGGGGACACTTTCAGCAACAGGAGCATGAGATGACCACCACTGCCCTCTCCTTCCCACTAAATATGCTCCTGATGTAGGACAGTTCCAGCTTTTTGCTGTGAAACCAGAACTTCCATCTCCATTACTCCTCTCTGAATGCTCACACCATTCCCTGAGTCTCGTTTGGATCTCCATGCCCTGAGCTAATTGGGGTGAGCCAGATTCCTGTCACACTAACGTGACACTTTCCCTGGGAGATGGGTCCTCTCCATATCTACTTCAAGATCACAGGGGAAATTAATTTTTCAGCTTCTCTTCAATATAACTTCTCTTTCTTTTTGAGAATTACTTATTACAGGTTTCTCATTTCCAGAGTAAGTCTCATTTCCTAATTATTAACTTAGTCTTTCATCATCTGCCATTTCATTTATTCATGGCATTTGCCCACCTTTGTTCCAGTTTCCCCTTTGAAAAATAATTCAGTAACAGGAATGGCCAAGTGCAACTCATCACAGTATTTCCCCTTTTAATTCAAATCCGTTCTACTTGCCTGTCCAGATGAAATGCTGCTATTTCTGCATTATGTCTCTCATAGTCCGAGAAGTAAAAAAAGTCAGGCGGGGTTTCTTGTTCTCTGGTTTGCCTGCAAAGGACAACAAGGGAAGTGTTTTAATGAAGGGTTAGCATTGCTAAGGAGCAGTGCTCAGCCATCAGCATGCTGTTCAGGAGATCTGTATTGTTTGCTTAATGGAAGACCTTTAAATACCTCATTTGTGCATTATTTGCCATGCAGCCTTCATTTTATCTTCTTTTTTAAGCTACTCTAACAAAAAAATAGGAATTCAAGACTTGTGCAGGCAGTGTGCTGTCACAAAGGTGTTCCACTCAAAATTCTCGCTCTATTTAACAAGATCTGTTTTATCACTCTCAAACATTTCATTAGCGATAGCGGTGAAGACAATGTCATTTCATTAAATTATCATTAACTGTAATTATGAAATTTCCAAAAGTAATAACATTTTTCTTTCATCTTTGGCAGTCATGCAGCTCCCATCTAGAATATGCCTCTCCCTTTGCATTACTTAGAGCCAAAAGTGACATGTTTTTCTCATTTCAGAAGGAACAGGATCATTGCAGTTTGATGGCCATGACACTTGTCATGTTTCAAAGAACATTAGCAAGACTGTGCTTGAGAGAGGATGCAGAGTTTGTTGTTTCTTCAGTTTAAGAACCAATAAAAAATGTTATTCTGATAGGAAGGCTGGAAATAGGAAGGCTAAAGCTTCCACACTACAGTACATGGAAAATACAAAGCTCTGTGTAAGAGAAAAGCAAATCCTGTCTCACTCGAGGCAGGTTCCAGTCCTTTTGGATGGAGCACAACTCAAGCAGCTGACCAGTGCAACATTTGGGTCCCACCTCAACCTGTTTTGAAGTCCTCAGAGGGAGATAAGCACAGCAAAGCTGCCTGCAGAGCATCTGCAAGGGAGGACAACTCTCCAGAAGAGGAAAACAAAGCTCTTTCTCACTCCCCGCTGTCGCAGGTGGCCCAGCTGACAGCTCATGTGTCACTCGTGCTGCCTGCTGGCAATTAAAATACAGCTTCTGCATGGGGACCTTGGTGCATGAGAGGCTTTGGGGTGGTGCTGGTGCAGAGATCAAACCTCCACTGAAGTCCTAATTTTGGGTTTGTTGAGGACTGGAGCTGTGTCCACCCACCACTGTGACTACCAGAGCTGGTGTCAGCCCACAAATCCACCCAGGGGCTCTCCAAGTTGCTGGAGAAACCAGATGAGTCTTGTGGGCTTTGACTTCATGAGGACTTTGCTGTGCACCCAACAGCATGCCTGATATCCCTTCTCAGACATTCTTTTTTATATTAACATCTTGGCAAGGTACTCTATCTTGCCCTAAATGATGAGCAACATCAAGGTGTTTGTGTCCTGTAGAACTCAAGGTCAGAGAGGCCTTAACCAGCCCAGTGATGCTGTGGGAAAACAGCACTGACCACTGTCACAGCAGAGGTCATGGAAGTGGCCAACACTCGGCAGAAATCCTGCTAGGGAGCTGCTCTGGCCACAAAGGGTTCATGAGGACACAAGCTAAAAGTGAACCTGGCATTAAATAAAAAGTAATATTTTGCTTTGTCTCCATAAGCAATTCAAAAGGGCAAGGAGTACACCCACAAAGAGGAACAGGGGAGAGCAGAACCTCTGGCACGTCACACAATGCACTTCACAGTCAAGAGTTAGGAGAGCTGCAACCTCATCCTGCATATTCTCCTAAAAAATGAAGGAATGAGCCCTGAATATAAATTCAAAGGAAAAAAGATAAACCTGTTTCTGCTGGACAAAAAATCACATATTGGCATGTAGCCTTCCCTCCTCTCCAGATTTTTAAGAGTTGATTTCTTCAACAAATCCTCACCCCAAGATTTCACAAACTCTACGCACATCAAGCACAGCTGATAAGGTGCAGAAAATATTACTAATTAGCTAATCAATGCCATCTGCTTTTTATCTCCCGGGCACTTTAAAAGAAACCACGGCTCTTCCTTTATGAGAAAACTTTGCTCCAGAAAATCAGACTTAACTGAGGGCTGGATCTCAGCCTTGCAAGCACAGCCCTTGCCCCAGCCCAGCTCCCTTCCACTGCTCCCTGCGCTCCCTGCCACCCCCGGCAATGGCTGTGGATATTTTTCATTTGGGAGTAAGCACAGCTGTCCTGCAGGCTCAGGCTTGTTTGTACATATCTTCTTGCTGTCATAATGTATTATTAAGTGGTAGCACACCGTCCTAAGAAAACAATGAAACTGATTGCCCCAAAACCTTCAAAAATGGACACCAAATCCACAGCGCAATCTAGACAATGGAAATACCAGTATTTTTTTAACCAGATGATACATCATGAAACAAACTCCCAAGTTTCTTCAGTGCTTAAGGTGCTTCCTTCTACAAGAAACACTCTACAGCCACTTTCCATATGGTCCATGCACATGTCCAGCACATCATACCCACTTCTCTGCCTCTTGAAAATGCCCTGTTATTCAGAAAGTAGACTGGAAGGAGGATTTACCAACCCCCCATGATGCTTTACATCCCTTGTATTCCTCTGCAGAGCTCTCCAGAACAAACATGTAGCAGATACAAACATGAAGCCCTCTCCTGAAAAAACCCTGAAATAGCCTTTGTGCTGACTTTCTCCAATCTTCCACAGATATAAAAGAAACCTAATTCCTTGGATCTGACATTAACTAGACAGATTTTTATTCAAGCAGACATTTATTTTTAATTTGATGTCTGCAGCAGTACCTGAAGAGGTTCCTTGGGAATTCCCCAGCCAGAGCAAGCTGCCATCCCAGCAGCAAACACTAGCACGTGTGTGGATTGTAGCCCAAGATACACAACTGAACTTATAAAGCCACGTGAGTCTGACAGAGCTCTGAACCAATGCCATTAACAGACTGATATGAGAGTGGCTTTAAGTGTTAAAGGGCACCTACATCATAATCTAGAATTTTGATTTTATCCAACTGCATTGATATATAATTTTATTTTATCCATGTTAAAAATGGCCTTTTTTTTTTTTTTTAACTGTCCACAATCTAATCAAGTCTGTTTGTTGCTAATTCTTCTAATGATCTATTCTGATGTGAAAATCAGAGAGGTGGAAGATCAAACTGCTCTCAGCAAGTCCAATCAGTTACTCCAGCTTTGGATCATGGTGACTGGTCTTCAGTCACTAAGCGACAGGCTGGGAAAGGGGAATGAACTCCCAGACCCTTCCAGGTCAAGTAAAACATCTTTTAAAACAACACTGAAACTGATCCACCCCACAGCATGTTTTAAATCAGAATTCCATTTTAAAAGGGGGAAAAAAAAATCCACCCCCACCTACAAATCAGTTTGGTTTTATCACCTGGAGGTTATTGTCTAATAAAATGACACATACAACGAGACCCTCGAGCAGACACCGACATGCTGAGCCCTCTGCAGCAGCACACACTTCTGAGGGACCCTGAATTCCAGTGTGAGCTCCTCAGTGCCAGCAGTGCCATCCCACACCGGGCAGGGACAGGTTCTGCACAGGTTGCAGACGGTGGGAGAGAATTTCTGGCAGCAGCTCCTATTTTGCAAACAGTTGGAATCTGGTGATCCTCTCTTTGGAGAAGGATTTGGCAGATATTTATAAAGGCAGGCTGGGAAGCTCTGGAGGAGAGACAGATGGAGATCTGTTGATACAGCACACAGTTAAAAATTACACTGTGGCACCAGCCCAATTACAGCATGAGGAAAAGACAAATCAGCACCATAACACGTGTAGGGAAGAAATCAGAACTAAGGGGAAATCAAAGCCCATGAAGATTTTCCCACCATGGCACAACTCAGAAAAAACATAGGAAGCAAAGAATGATTTTAAACAGGACAGGGACACAATTGTGTTGACACAAGACAAGATGCTACTGTGATCTGTTCCAGTGGCTATAAAAGTGAGTCATGCTAACAAACAGAAGAGAGAAAGCTGCTCTGATAAATGAACAGTCATGAATAAATCTGGTGAGTTAGCTCCATTCTAGCTCTAGTTTGGACCTGGTTTGCTTGAGTAATATTTGGATAAATCAACATAGTGATTTGTGTTCAGAAATAATTATAAAGTCTTAAACTTCTCTTCAATGTTTCTGTAAATTTTTTATTTTTTTTTTCAATTGCTTGGTCTCGCAGCCTCAACATTAATAATATCTCAGGATTTTTTTTTGCTGTTCATGAACCAAATCACCACAGGGCGACTGCAGGCTCTGCAGACTCTCTGGTATTTCAGAAAACAGCATTATAAAAACTAAACCCTTACCATGGAAATCTGTATTTAGTTTCCAGGATCACTAGCATACACCTGCCTAAACTACCAGGATTAATACCCACCAGGGCTGTGCATTACTCGAAAGAATCCTGCTCAGTGCCAGACTTCCTCTGCTCTGGAGGGGCTCTATTATCTGTACAGCAGCCAGAAGGATAGAAAATAGGGCAGAGAGCCCAAGGTGAGCTAAGTGTTATCCTGACAGACACATGCTCTCTGCAAGCCCAGAGACGTCTCCAAGACACCTCTGGTGTCAGACCCACGTCCCTGAACTAATGAGAGGATGTGCTGCTGCTTGGAAAACAGCTCCTTTTAAACAGGTTACCCTCGTGTTCTGACACATAATCAGTGGAATCAGCCACTGGGATTAGGCATGATTAGGGAGCACAACAAGGAGCTTTACTGCAGCAGGGACCAGGTTTGCTTGGGTCAGGCCATTCTGCAGACAGAGTCCCTGCCTGACCCAGCCAGGGGAATTGGGCAGCAGCAAATTCAGAAAGAGATATAAAGCAGAGAGGCTTTGTAATTGCATTGGCAGGGACAGGACTAACACTGATAAGAGCATAATTTGGCTATTGGAACAGATAACAGGAGATTAACGGGGTCTACCCACAGCTAGAGGTTGCTATTTTTCTCCTTTGGAAAGCAGCTTTCTTTTCCTGTGGAGCACTTAAATACCTGTCCTGAAGCCCAGTTGCAGGCTCAACAGTTCATACACAGTGTTAGCTAAATGATAAAATATAGCTAATACAGGACTAAAAGGATAGTTAATGCGAGACCAAAAGGTGG